TTTATTGATAACTGTCAAAACATGGAAGCAACCAAGATGTCTTTCAGTAGGTGCAGGGACAAACTATGGTATATCCAGACGATGGAATATTATTCAGCTGCAAAATGAAATAGGCTGTCAAGCCATGAAAAGACATGGAGGAAACTTAAATGCTATTACTGAGTGAAGGAAGCCATTCTGAAAAAGTTACGTTCTGTATGATTCCAACTATATGACATTTAGGAAAAGGCAAAACTATGGGGACAGTAAAAAGATCAGTGGTTGCCAGGGGTTTGGGGGTAGGGAAGGATGAGCAGGTAGAGAGTTTTTAGGACAGTGAAAATACTCTGTGTGATACTATAGCAGTGAATACATGTCATTATGCATTTGTCCAGACCCATAGAATGTGCAACACCAAGAGTGAACCTTCATGCAAACTAGGGACTTTGGATGATAATGAGGTGTCAGTGTAGGTTCATCAGTTGTAACAAATGTACTGCTCTGGTGCGGGATGTTGATAGTGAGGAGGTTGTGTTTTGGGGGCAGGGGGACTCTGTACTTTGTGCTCAATTTTGCTGTGAACCTAAAACTTCTCTAGAGACTAAAATCTTTTAGGGCCGGCCCATGGCTCACTTGGGAGAGTGCGGTGCTGATGGTGCCAAGGCCACGGGTTCGGATCCCTATATAAGGATGGCCAGTTAGCTCACTTGGGAGAGCGCGGTGCTGACAACACCAAGTCAAGGGTTGGGATCCCCTTACCAGTCACCTTTTAAAAAAATAAAGAAAGAAAGAATAAAATCTTTTTTTTTTAAGTTAATGTTACTCTTAAACATTTTCTTCTTCTCATGAACATAAGTCCCAGAACCTGAGCCAGACATGTGATTCCAGCAGTTCTTGAAATACAGGGTAAGGCAGATAATAACAGAGCATCTAACTCTCCTTCCATCTCTGATTGACATCAGCCTGGGAGAGGCAGAGCACACTGTCATAAACATGAGTCACAGGCCAGGCACAACACTGGGAAAATCATTTCACTTCTCTAGCCACAGTTTTTGCCTCAGCTCTAGAACAGGAATACTTAGCTCTGGGGTCATTGGGGAAGTTAGAAGAGAGAAT